GAGCTAATGGTTGTTTGGCTAGACATAGAAACTCGGGTAATTGGTAAAGGTGGTGCTAAAAGGGAGTGGATGGGGGGGTGGGATGGATGGAGGAATAGGTATGGGTGCTGCTGCATTTTGTGTCCCTTGTGTATGTTTGGGTGTATTTTCAATATTGTAGTGGAGGGTGCTTGTGTCAAGGATTGCATGGGTTTGGGGCTGTGTACAGTAGGCTAGTCAGCAGGTGGTAAGTGTGTAGGAGGCAGGGGTAGTGTGGTCACAGGTGGGGTAAAGATAGGAGGTGGAAGCGAAGACAGGGAAAGAGTGGATGAGAAGGGGCAGAAAGAGTAGTTAGGAGGGAGAACAACAGATTGTAGTACAAGAAAAGAAGGGAAAGTGACGAGGGTAAGAATAGGGATAAGAAAATAATGACAGAAAAGGTAATAATACAAAAAAAAAAAAGACCAGGTACAACAACAACAAAAAGTTAAGTCTGCTTGGTAAAAGTTCTGGACTTATTCCTTTGGCATCCAATCCTGGTATTGGTGCTTGGTATTCTGGACTTTGTGGAGAAGAGTGCTGCTCCTCTCGTTGGACAGCTTGGGGGGAGATGGCTAGAGGGTTTTCCCTTTTTTTTCCTACTTTCCTTGATTTTATGGGCCATCTGTTATAAGCAGAGCTCTGAAGTGGTCTCACCAGGTGACTGGCTTGTGAGCAGTATGTGGTTCCTTCTGTCCACTGGGCAGATTGCAATTGGGACCTGAGGTAACTTACTGCCAGTTCATGCAAGGTGGTCAGCTGTGTTGCTGTTTTCACAAGGCAGTAGCTGTGTTGACCTACTGCCAGAACTCTGGTCAGCTCCTCCCCCAGCAAGGGGGGTCAGTTCAGTTTTGAGTACCACCCTCCCACGAAACTAGCTCAGGGATCCACCATGGCTCCACTTTGGGAGGTTGGCTTGTTAACCTACCCCTGCTCTCAGCCTTTGTTGCTTGTCCTGCCCTAGTTGACTCAAAGTTTGGCTCCTTGCCCCATCCCCATTCTCTGAAGCAGATTCAGTGCTCCACCCCACCCCAGCTGTTGAGGTACATTACAATATGCTGTTTATGCTTTTCAGTTTTGTTGAGGTGGTTCAGTCTGTCCAGGGGCTGCACTGGATTATATTGGGAGGGGGGTAAGAGAGTTGTGGTGCATGTTGCTCACTGTTGGGTCTGCAGGTTTACACAGGCAGCTTTGAAACCTGCCAGCAGGTAGAGATGGCGTGCTGCTTTTCTCAAGGCTGACACTTACTGGAACTGGGTTCATTGTGGCGAGGCATAGGTAGGCTTTCCATGGGTTGTCGCAGAGTTCAATCCTGATTGGTGTTCTGTCTTATGCTTATTGGAAAAGAAAGAAAAAAAATTAAAAAAGAAAAGGGAGAAACAGCCAGGGGGATTTTCTCCCCCGACCCAGAGCAGAAATACTCTATTGGCAGTGCCATGCTGGAATTTTCCCAGCTGTTAGGTGCAATTAAAAGCAGTTTTAAGGGTTAGTTCTTGAATTTTATGTGCACCTAATGTGATGGTGGTTATTATTTTGCTAGAAACAATCAGAATTACCAAGGTGTAGCTCCCACATCTCAAGGTGGTTTCTGGAGTCACGGAGCTCAGGAATTCTGATTCCCCACCCTATCTGCCATCTTGAATCCTCCTCCTATTTTCATTTTTTAGAGGGTTTTTTTGTGTGTGTGGTTTCTTTTTGTGTTGGCATGCATTAATTGTACAAAGGGCTTCATTGTAATATGTCCATATAAGCTTATAATGTACCATAATCACATGCACTTCTCTGTTACTCCTCTCTGTTACTCTTTCATAATTCCCCTTGCTCCTTCCTCATTTTAAACAGTTTTAGTGGGTTTCATTATGCTCTCTCTCTCTCTCTCTCTCTCTATATATATATATATATATATATTTATATACATATATACACATGTGTATATATAATATACTTTGATCATATTCTGCATATGAACAAAAATATGATATTTGTCCTTCTGAGCTTGGCTCATCTCACTCAACATGGTAATTTCCAATTCCATACATTTTCCTGCAAACAGCATAATTTCATTTTTCTTTATGGCTGAATAACACTCCATTATATATATGTACCACATTTTCTTTATACATTCCACAGCTGATGGGTGCCTAGGCTGATTCCATAACTTTCCTAAAGTGAATCATGCTGCTATAAACATCAATGTACAGACATCTCAATTGTATGTTGATTTATATTCCTTTGTATATGAGCCCAACAGTGGTATAGCAGGATGATGTCTGTGTGTGTGTGCATGTGTACATATATGTATCCTATATACCATATATATGTTTATATAATTATAAATAATTATAATATACACATATAATCATATATATGGTAATTCTACTTTTTAAAAATTATTTTCAAAAATAAAATAATAATATTACTTTGTTAAAAATGAAAACTTTGAGACAAAAACCCCAAACAAGATGGGACATTAGGACAAGAGGTCTAATATGGAACTGTCCTTGGCAAATAGGAGGTGTGGTTACCCTACTTGTAAAGTCAGAGAGAGATTCCATGTAACCACTCCTGAGGAAGTAACTTCCTTGACTCCTCTTGTTGTTCATTCGTTTTTGCTAGAGATCCATTGCGCATGGGGTCTCACTCTATAGAGGTTGTTGTGCAAACTAATGATTTCCATATTGCAGTTTCATTTCTAGCATTGTGTCTATCTGTGTCCCAGGAGCGGGTACTGCTTGGTTCTGAACATACCTGGGGCTTACTGGATATAACCTGTCATTTGAGCAGCTCTGAAATGTCTGGCCCATCTTAGGAGAATTGCTCATCAAGCCCTAGAAGGGGCTTTCAAAATATTGAATTTGAGATCTTCATAGTTTTTTTTTTTAATTAAAGATAGTAGCTAGATTGATAGAGGAAAGAACAGAGCTTTAATCTTATAGTCCTTTGGGGAAATCTGGGGTCTGTCTTTCTCATTAAGCCATAGCTTCTCTTATCAGCCTTTTACCTTGGTTATTTTTTTCCTTCAAAAATAGTTGCGGTAGAGAAGAATAAAATACTTTCCATGTCCTTTTATTATTAGGAATTTTCTTATTGCTTAATATGAAGTAGTTAGAAGAATAAACACTTTAGATTTAGACAGATGTGTCTTAAACTTTAAGCATATCCTAAGTATCAAAATATCAGGGGAATAATATCATGAGCTTGCTGTCAGGAAGAAGTGAGATGTTCCAGGTAAAATATCTAGCCCTGTGTTTGGTAAACAGTAAGTGTCCAATAAATGACAGCTATGATGGTTAGGGAATAAAAGTTTTCCTATGGGTAGGGCCAGCTTTGGAGAAAAATAAGCTTCTTCTCTTCCCCATTTCAGCTTCCTTACCACTCACCTTCCTTTCCATCCACACACACCATATGCAGACTTCAAATCCCATTAGCACTACTTGGAGCTTTCATTATGACATTGACTGACCTCTTTTCCTAGCCTAGCATCTTCTATTCCTTATCATTTTCATCTCCTTCCTTCCAGATTCCTGTCTTATGACCTATGCTTTTGCTGCCTACCATAACTAACCTTGAAAAGGTTCTATTAATGTTATTTATGCCAAAACATTAAAGACTAACATAATTTTCATATGCTAATCTTGCCAAGAGGTATTTCCATTTTAATGAAGGTCAGCATCATAACCTAGTCGAATAAAAGTGAGAAACTTAATTTGTAGGCATCAGCAAGAATGAGAATAATATCTTTAAAAAGCCTCGATGATAACAATAAAAATAATTAACAACTAACATTTATTCAGTGACAACTCTATTTTGCAGCATGTTTTTACATGCATTACTTCATTTAATCCTCACAACCAATAAGTTAGGTATTGCTCTTTTTATTTTTCTGGTGAGGAAAATGAAGCTTGGAGGGTAAAGAAAATTGACCAAGGTCATATACACCAAGTACATGAAGAAGAAAGGTTTGGACCTCAAGTCCATATAACTTACCACCATCACCTATGTTATCACTTAGAGGCTGAATTTTCATCAGGGCAAGGATTTGCTCTTAATCATTCTTTGCTACAGCCTTGTTCAGTTCCTGGCACATGGGAAACAGTCAGTCAGTATTTGATGAATGAATTAATGAATAGGTATCTTTTCTATCCACAATCTCTTCTCCATTTACCTCTGGGATCTCCTCTTCTTTGGAGGGCCTGCTTTGCCCAATATTCTAAGGACTCTGAACTACTAGAAGTTCCATATGCTCTTCTACCTCCTGACTTTGTGCCTTTGTCATCTTGTCCCCTCTATCTGCAATCCGTCATTTTCCTGAAGTCTCTGGGCTACTTCTTCTCAACTAGAGAGGCAGACCTCAAGAGTGATGTCCCTACCTGAGCTCTTCATGGTTCTGGCCTCCTCCCTCATTCTCCCCTCATCCTCCCCTAGATCCAGGGTTGTTTCCACATTGGTCCCTTCCACTTGGTATGTTTGAAGGCAGATATCTGACATACTTTGTATCCTGTATTTGTGTTTAACATATGTTTGCATCTTTGAAAAAATAATATATATGTATATGGGTGTATATGTATTCTTTCAGCCAAGACTAGGTTATCTGTTCTAAGGTGTATTTTCTTCATATTTTAATTGATGTACTCTTAAGATTTTATTTGAAAGTATTTTTCTTGCTCAGTGAAATAAAAATAAGGATTGTTTGTCTACTACAGTGAATGACACTTTTGACTTAATGAAGTGTAGTGATGGATATCAAAGATTATATGAATGAATGAATGAATGAATAGTATTCATACCTCTCCTCAAATCATACTGTTATTGCTATATAGAACCTAGCTTTTCTGCCTCCTAGTCATTGTGGCAGTGCAACAGTTGAGTGTCATTCTTTATGCTAGTGTTTGTAATGGTAGGGCAGATAATAAATCAGCTCACATGTTCTTTATCACCTCTTTCTGGAATGAAGTAACCTGTTCCATGTATGTATCTTCTAGGTGAAATCGATATTCAAATTCTTTCCAAAGTCCAGGCTCGATACCCAGGAGTTTGTATCAAAAATGAAGTTGTTGAACCAAGTGCTGAACAAATCAGCAAGTACAAAGGTACCTGGAACCCATCGTGTTACATACCAAATCCTATCTCTAATGGCTTATCACCTCATATTACTGCCTTGAGTAGTTAATAATACACTGAACTGCATTATGCTCTTTGTAAGCTTATTGGGAGAAGAACCTAATTAATTCTTGGCAAGCATGACTAAACACCTCACATAGTGAACAGTGCAGAGACTCCTTTATTGACTCTCCATTCATTTCCCTGTCATAATTAATGTTTATTCTTTGAGAGAGTCATTCATTCATTCAGAAATATTTAACCAGAGTCTCTGCCCTTAAAGAGCTTGTTTAATGGTTTGCAGCAGGAGTTGGCAAACTTTTAGACTTAGAAGGCCACGTATTCTCTGTTATGGATAATAGACTATACTATTGTGGTCCAAAGGCAGCCGTAAATGATACATAAACTGAGCATGAGTGTGTTCTAATAAAACTTTATTTATAAATATCAACATTTCATTTTGTATAATTTTCACAAATTGTGAAATATCCTTTTTTTGAGTTTTTCCAACCATTTAGTAACATAATGGCATTTCACATGAGTGACAGAGACAAAAAGTCAGGAAGTAGAACAGTATGTTTTTAGTTTGAATTCTATACAAAAACAGATGATGCATCAGAGAACCTGTGGGCCTGAGTTTGCCTACTCCCAGATTACATAATCATATCACCTGTTTCACATCAACTTTTTTTTAATAAAATTTACCAATTGGTTCTCATTAATACCAAATTAATATTACCTGTGTCTGACCAGGTTCTCATAGTTATTCTATTGACTCTTGCCTTTCACTTATAATTTCATTTAACACTGGAAAAAAATCAGAATGAATCCTCTAGTTTCTCAGAGCTACATAAAAAAGAAAAATGTGGCTTATATCTGTTATGTATATAACATTGATTGCATTAAAATTGTAAATGGAAATGGGTTCCACATTTGCAATTAAAATTGATGGTGTGCCACCTCTTCTCTGTATTTTAGAGCTTGTAGCCAAGAAATCAAACCTCAAGAACATAAAGTTTGCTTGGCATAAGGAGACAGCATCTGAATATCAAAATAGAATGATGGAGAAAAAAGAGCTTCAAAAGTGGGACTTCATTCATATGATTCAGGTAAGAAATATTTATTAAAACATAATTTCAAAGGAGTTTTTTAAAGAAATATTTGTGAAAACACATAATATTGTAATTTTTAAATGAAACTCTTCTGATTTCTAATGTTATAAGTGAGCATTATCTATCCAAATAAAGGTGTTGATAATACTAAGATTCTTTTTAACATTCAAAACACTAGTTTTCTTTATCCACAGTCAACACTTTTTAGTGTTGGTTTAATTCATTTTCTACAATGGAAAGTTCATGCATATATTTGAGAAAAGTAGAGTGTCAAGATATCTTGCTAGTTTTCCAGTAGCTCTACTGGTCTGCCAGTTTCAATGGCCCATATTTTTTCTGACTCCTCTTGCATTTGCTTTCAATAGATGGCCTTGATAATGTGTATATGATGGAAGGCGCAGGTTTTGACTTCTCAGATCAATAAAGTTTTCCTGATACCAACCAGTCTTTCAGTTGGGCTTTATTTCTATGGGCCAGCAACTGTGATAACTATTAAAGAGATGGCATGGTGCTGGATTTCCAGGGATCGCTGAGATTTCTGGATGGTGTGAGGAATGCATAGGCTTTAGAAGTTAGCTACTATCAAGTGATGTGCACAGTTTACACATATCACTGATTAACAATAAAACAATTCTTCCTTCTTATGTTCTACAACCATGGTCCCTCTGAAGGAATAAACTTACGAGAAACTTAAATCAGTTGGAAGTTGGCATATTTAGGCAATTCTGCATCTCTGCTCCCTTAGTTGACAAAATCTTTTGTGTTCAAAACAGCCTAGGATGCTTCTGTATTAGAAACTTTCCTGTCTGTTCACAGAACAATTTCCTTGCTCCTTTCTCTAGTAATTTCTACCAACTTTCCCTCACCATTCATTCCTAACTGATGATCTCACTTCATGCAGCACAGAGAAGACAGAAATCATCAAATGAAAATTCGTCTTTTGCCCTCTACACTTGCAAATGGAGATGAACTTGTACCTGTCATCTCCTTCTTCCATCTTGTTATGAAAGCTTCCTCTTACCAAAAGCCATTTCCTTCACTTACAGCCTGAATCCCATACTTCTCCTTGTTATAAAATATTATAGCTTTAGTGATCTGCTTCTTTCTCCTACTTCTCTTAAAACTTCAACATCTGTTCTTTCTTTCAGAAACTCTGCTTACTATTCTGTTTCTCTCTCCATCCTTGTCTGTTCTGCATTTTTCTGAGTTATGTCTCTTCTTTGCTACTTGCAGACCTAACACTTTCATATTTTCAACTTAGTATTCACTGTCAACCTGGATATCTCAATGTGTATTAGACAAAAATTCAGGGGATCTGCTATGGCTGTCACCTCCTCTCATCCAGGTCATATCAAAGATTATTAGCCATCTTTTGGATCAGCTGTGTGTGAGTATTTATCTACAGTTGCTGTGGTAGACAACATCAAGTGACCTGATGCTAAGTGTGGTCCCTGAGGTAGCATGGGTCATGTGCAGGTTCACTTTATTTCATTTATCCATGTGAAAAAGTCATAACTAAATTGTTTTCTCTTTATTCAGTGAATTTTTTCCAAAGTTCATTACTTTTTATTTATTTATTTTTACTTTTTATTAGTATATATTTGTTGCAAAAGGGGGTTTCATTGTGATATTTGCATATGTGCTTGCATACAATGTATCTTAATTAGATTCACACCCTGGATTATTCTCCCTCATCCTCTATCCCCATCTTTTTAGAACAATTCCAACAGGTTGTTCAATTTTTATACATATACAAAGTACACTGATAAGTAAGAGGTGTTCATGGGAGTAGATACCCTGGTAGCTAAAGGATGCACATCATTAAGGAAAATTTCTCATTCTTAATGCATAATACTTAGTTCTATGTGTCTGGTGGAAAAGCGTGCACTTCACTAAGAATTGGTACAGAATTATTAAAATAGGTGACCTGCTAGGCAGCTACTCTAGAGGTGAAAGTAGGAGGATCATGGCTCAAGGCAGCTTGGGCAAAATTAGTGTGAAACCTTTCTGAAAAACAAACTGAAAACAAAAGATGGGAGTATGTGACTCAAGTAGTAGAGCACTTGCCTAGCAAACTCAAGGGCCTGAGTTCAATTCCCAGTACCACCAAAATAAATAAATAAACAAGCAAATGAATGAATGAATAAATAAATAAGCTCATGATCCACCCTTTAACACCCTGTGGCCAAGTGTGTAACTTCATGCTTCATCTAATTCCATATCCTAAAGTGTCTTTCAGCATAAGAGCCTGCCATATTTTCTGTGATTAAAAACAAAGCAAATGTGAGCATGAAGAGAAGCTTGTACAGAAGCCTTAATTCTAAAGCACCATTCCATGAAGTGGGATGTGTTTTTAATGATGCCAGCTCCATTTTGTTTCAGAAGTAGTAGAAATTCAGAAAATATAGAATAGGTGCAGGACCAATATCACAATAGAAATGGAGTTTAAGTGTCTCCAACTATAAATGCCTCTGTTATGGAAGCCAGAAAGTAAATTAAAAGCGATTTAGATGTGGTAGAGCCAATGCATACTTTCCCCTTTCCCCAAATATTTTCTTACATTGTTGTTCTTTCACTTCATTTAACGTCTTTAATGTTTAAGTTTTTAAAATTTTTGTTGACTAAAAATCTACTCAATTTGAAAATCAAACCTTCCAGTGGGTATCTAGTCCAAGCAACTAGGACTCCAACACAGAGAAGTGTCTTAATTCTCTTTTCCTTCTTATGTAGATGCTGTATTATGTAAAGGACATCCCAGCTACTTTGAAATTCTTTCATAGTCTGTTAGCTACCAGTGCTAAGATTCTCATCATTCTTGTGTCAGGTAAGCTTTACTTCCATTCAGCTTGAATTTTAAAATAGCAATTGTGCATGTATGCATGGGTTTGTGTGTTTTGAAGAAAGCTAGTATATTTTGCCTTTGTTATAAAATTCTTGCCTTGGTTTCTGATTATATTCAGTTAATTATTACACAACAGCTCTCAGTTTAGAGGATGCACTGATATTAAACATCGACTTGCTTCCTTCTCTTGAGAAAAAAATCTGTGTCCTTTTTATATGAAAGGAAATTCAAGTGCTGGAAGACTAAAGATAGTAAGTGTTTATATTTACCTTCTTTATGTCACATGAATGTCTTTTTCCCCCTCTGTGATAGTTACTAGTAAATAAAGCCTGAAATATTTGGGATGCCATCACACTTGATTGATTTACATGTATAGATTTATTAGCTATATTGTTATATTGTTCATTATTGCTTTTCTCAAATACCTATCAAAAATGATCCAGTTGCATTGTTTTACGTTATTGTTCTTCTTTCCAAAGAAGGTATTTGATCATCGGTGTGGCTTCCAGAATTGTAAGTTACACAGAGAACATAAGTAAACATAGTTAAAAAATGAAACATTGACATTGTAGAGGTAATTCATTATAGTGCTGCTTCTTTAGTTATGCACTATCCATCCAGTGCTAGATGGATTGATTCTAAATATACAACAGTCTCTATCTTTAGCATACAGTATACGCCATATTCAAGAACCATATTTCAAATTTAATTTTTTCTCATCTGCAAGGAATAACTTTAAAATTGGTAAATATAATTGTGGTCTGTAATCCTGGGCTTGAATTTATGTGACAGTTTGGCAATAGGGAGCTCCTGTACATAAGCTGTTCCCCACATGAACATTTTGATACACTATTTTCATCTCTAGTTAGCTCAACATACTCATTTATGTGGGAAAGGTTTTGACTTCTCATTTGGAAGGGATTATGTAGACTGCACTCTTTCTACCATCCTCTGTCTAAATTAGGACACTTGACTATAGCAGGCTGTACAGCATTTAGGAATGCAAAATAACACTGTGGAGAGTGTGTTCTTGATGATGTGCATCAATCAACCAGAAAAAATAAATTGCAGGCAGAAGTTCATCCAGAAGTCATATAGCTTCATTTCTTCATTTTAGAATATATATCATAACAATAGCATTTCTACTCTTCAGAACTTTTCAGAAGTTAAGTATCTGAATAAAATAAGGCATCATTCTATGAGTATGTGCCTATCAATAAGAAAAACCCAGCCTAAAGTTTAGAAAATGGTATGAATTTCCTACCTGCACCTGACAATTGACTAAGTGCCCTTATTTACACAGTATTCTTCTGGCTGGATAATGAAGAGTTAATATATTTCAGTATGATTAACATCAAGAAATGAGAAAACCAAAATAAACCCAGTGAAAGGTATGATGACACCTGGGACAAGAATACTAAGGCACTTTCTATCTGTGTGAACTTAGTCTCCAAGACTTAGCTAATTTTAAGTCTATTTCTGGATAATCATAACTACATTATATTCCATTGTTCATGTATGTGGTCTGCATATTCTATATAAATAAACATTTATGGGGAAAAAATCAAAAGAAAGGGAGTAAAGAGTCAACAATCAGGTAACCTTTTGAAGTATTTTGAGTCAAAAAGTATTCAATCATGTATTTCAGATGAGAAAAATATTTTATTCACTCTCTCAATAGGTTCACAATTTTCATACTGATCATAGACTAGGATGCTTCTGTCCTACAGAAGAAAACACTGTTATTAGATATTGTTCCTCAACATAAGAATACAACAAGTGAACTAGAGGTGTGGCTTAAGTAAATGAGCATCTACTTTACAAGTGTGAAGCCCTGAGTTCAAACCCCAGTACCACCAAAAAAAAAAAAAAAAAGTAACAAATAACAGTGGTCAGACTGTTAAACTAGAATTTGTATGACCTATTTCCTGTACCACAGTCACTACTTCTTAGAAGAGATTTTAACAACTGTAAAAGAAATAACAATCCATTTCTTCTTTAAAAAAAAATAACCATTGAGGAAAAGGAGAGAGTAAATTGTAATATTTTATTTTGAATAAAATATCTCTCATTCCTAAGACTAAAATGTCTCAGCCTTTTGCTTATATTTACTAGAATTATTAAGTAAATTAATTAAATATAAATTAAATATAAAAATAAATCACCTTTTCAATATAGTTTATTTTCAGTTAAAGAAGATATTCTACCTGAAAAGTGAAATGGAACCATCAAATATATTGGTCATTGTTATCAACTTAGTTTTTAAATGAGATGTCCCAAATTTCCTAAATCACATTGGCTCACACTTAACCTTTAAAAACATAGTCAGTGACTGAAGTTTTCATCCCAAGGAAATTGAGTAGTTTGTTGTCCTCCTCATCCCTCCTTCATGTGTGAGGATTCCTGGGGGTCATGCTTACAGGCTAAGTTTCCTGTCAGAAACACATAGGGAGTTCAGAGAGTTCTTAGAGAGCAGGGTGTTTGTCTGTTAATCTATTCTCAGATCTATGAAAATGTGTTTGAATTGAGCTTAATAGTTGTTTACTTCTACCTATGATATGAGCTACAATTAATTCTGAAAATCCATCCAAAAAAAGAAATACATTTCATCTAAGATTAACTACAGATAGATAAGAAATCAAAGAACAGAGAAACTTTTGCACACATACACACACACACACACCCTCAAACCCATGCCCACAAGTACAGTGCATATGGAAAGAGTCAGACAAAGACAATATAGGATAAACAAGTAAAACTAATCAGAAAAGAAAGAGAAATTGAAATCAGAATTAAATGATGACATTTTCTGGCCAGCCTTTAGAATACATCCTGCATGAGGGAAAAGAACCTTTCCTCCGTGTTCCTGAGCAGAAATTGCAGAACCAGCTTAGTTAATATTTATTTAGTAATAACTAGCAGAAGTTCCTGACTATGGGGATAAAAGAGATTTTTGACCTGAGAATGAAGAAGAGGAGAAATAAGAACAAAAGATTTAAATTTTGTTTTAAGTGAGGAGCATCCCACACTAAAATGATATGAATGGCGTGTGTTTCTGCAAATGTTTTATCCAGGCATCAGTTGAGAGAGTTGTTTAATAAAAGATGACTTATCCAGTTAGGGGAGATGATATAGAAGGAATTCATTAAGTCTTCTAACCATCCTCTCCTTGCCTAACCAAGGAAGTAGACAAATCATTGTGTTTTTTGTTTTAATATGGTAGGAG